TAATTCACAAAAATTCCGTTTGAAATACCATCGCAGAGTGAGCATTTTCCTGGCGCTGTCAAACCAACGGGAAACGCTTTGTTGTGCGGTAACGCAGTCGTGGGAGAGCGGGAGTGTGGTTGGGGTCGCTGTTGAGGGTTGTCGTGGGCGGCGGGCGGGGGCGCAGGGCTACACGTGGCTCAAGGAGCGGCTCCAACCTGAGGAGACGCGTCGCCAGCAGGACAAGCTGCGCGACATCGCGCAGCTGGCGGAGAAGCTGGGCTGCTCCGTGGCGCAGCTGGCCGTCGCGTGGGGGCTCAAGAACGAGAGCGTGCAGTGCCTGCTGCTGGGCGCCGCCACCGTCGACCAGCTCTACGAGAGCATCCAGAGCCTGCAGGTGAGCGCGCGCGCCCCTAGCGCCGGCCAGGGCTATTAGGAAACGCTTTCAATACATGCCGCTGAGTAGTTTGTGTTTGCATCCCACGGAGGGGCGATATTCATCCGCTAATAGAATGCGAGGCCGATCTACATAAAGGCTCGCGGAAGTTTACTCTTCCAGTATCTCCCTTCATCTGGGCACAGCCCCGGCCGTAATACGACTTAAGCTCCCGACTGGCCTCCCGACATGTGTGGCTGTGTAGTGCATGTACATGTCTGTGTGTGTGTGTGTGTAAGGGGAGAAGGGGGTACAAGGAGGAGGAAGGCAAGATCGCGTGTCGGCTGCGACCCATTTTTTAGGGTACTGGTTCGGAATTCACCAGGAATTGGTGGGAATAACCACGCAAAACTACCGATCAGAGCAGCCGGCCGCCAGAATTCGCTTCTAGACAGAGGCTGAAGTCGACCTACTTATTTTGCTAATGTCCAAAATAAACCACGATCGCGACTTCAACCATAGGACCGCCCGGTCAGAGACACTACGTGACAACAGTGGCATCGAGTCAGCCTATATCAATGCTATCAATGCATTACATTGTGATGATAACAGTTCTGTTAAAATAGGTACACGACTCTCCCCAGAATTTCAAGTGAGCAACGGGTTAAGACATTAGCCCCCCTCTTATTTAAAATGTATCTCGAAAAAGCGCTTACACATTGGAAAATTACGTGTGTCAGAATGGGTTTGTGATGTACTGTACACTCTGCTGCTTGCCGATGTCATACCTGGAGACGAAGTGGTCATACCTGGAGACGAAGATAATGTGAGTTATATGCTTCGCTAACTCAAACATTTTATGTTAAAAACTGCTTCAAATTTCGAATTTACTGATGCGCTTAAACGCCGTTTTCTTAAAAACCGCTCCAACTTTTTCAAAGAAAATTGTCATTTTAGACGATCTTTCACTGTTTTTTAATATTTTTAAAATACTATTTCCGTTTTACTATTATAAAGCCGAAAAATTAGGAAAAATTCAAAAAAATGTACTTTGGGCAGATGGCAGCTGGCAAGTTATGGCAAGTTCGAATAGCTAGCCGAGACGAAAGGAAATAGAAAACCCACTTTTCCCTCGATAAAATACAATAACCCTACTCATGCAGCGCTTGTACACCCCCGTACAAATACATTTCCACCGCCGTGTTTCACAATGGAACGGAGTTTCTTTTAAAGTTCTTCCTCCAAACACAAATTCTTCCATCTGATTGAAAGATGTTAAATTTACTTTCGTCCACAAAAAGTATCTTTTCTAAGAATTATTTGGGACGATTGAAATAAGATTTAATAAACATCTATATTTTCTTCTTTACTTTACACATGAAGTTCTTTCTTCAAGCTACTCTAACATGGTATAATTTACTTCTCAGATAGTTGCAAACGGTAGTCACATATATTTAATTGGAGATATTTTCTAAGATCAACTGTATTTTTTGGAGCACTGAGTTGAATATATCAAGTAATATATTTGAATTACTATGAGACATTATATTTCACTATTATACAAATAAAGCTAGAAATTTATCTAAATTATTTTCGTAAATTGGAATGTGAGAATACTTTTTACATTCACTGAATATTTTGGTGAGAATCTTGTGTACTGTTTATGGGCTAGTGCTTTTGTACTAGACATCGATAAAGTAAAACGATTAAATTACACCAGAACTTCTCCGAAGTCCGCTCGCGAGCTACTCGTTTAAAAATCGTCTTGGGAGACCAAAACCCAAAGCCAATCAGATTTTGCTGGCATACGCCTGTAGAAGTAGAAATTGTAAAAGACTGTATCTGAGAAATCATAAAACATCATGTTTTGATGTTAAATGATCATCAAAATAATTTCTTTTGAGATGAAGTACGGTAGAGATCATGTCCAGAAACGATATTTTGAGAAATTATCATCTTGCCTTCAATACTCAACAAAAAATAACCACAAGAGTGAACTTTACTGAAAATTTATCACAATAGATCCAATTATCTTATTTTCATGAACATTTTTACTTTATATTTTAATCAAAGAATAGATTAAATAAAATTTTAACTTCATTGTTGAACTAAAAATGCGGTAGAAATTTAAAAATTCAGAACGAACAAACAATAGGTTCAGAAAACAATTCAGAACGACAAAAAAAATTGGAATTGAATAATGAAAATAAAAGTATTTGTTTATCACAATGCATTTCATAATCTACTTTTTTCAAATAACATAAATGGAATAATGTACCATTTCAAAGAAATGAGACAAAGAAAAAATACCATTTAACTCTCTAGAAAATGCCACGAAATCCTTTAATCATGCAAAGCTTAAAGAGGGTGTTTTATTATTAGCACTGTCCAGGTAGACTTCGTGCAACATTCCTTAAGATACAAAATATATTTACTCTTATATTATAAGTTAATTTTTGTGTTGATGGAATAATGCAATTTTGAATTTTAAATCTCTTTAAAATACTGGAATTTGATACTGAAGAAGCTGAAGTATTTTTCTACATCTCACGCAACAAGGGTCACTTCTCACACAACCCAAATATGTTTAGAAAATTGAACTTTGTCAAACACACTTCTTATTGGTGTTCCCGCGATGAAACGGACGATTAACGCTAAACATAAGCATGATTTCAGCGTCAGTAAGGTTATATTTGGTTGACAATATTTGTACTTTTTTGTCACTATGTTTTGTCGAAAGGCAATGGAGATATCTAAACTTCGAATGAAAGATTTGTAAATATGAGCAAGCAGTTTACAGCAAAAACAAACTTAATATCATTGAAATGTTTACGTACCTCTTGAAGTTGACAGGACGTTTCGTTTACCAATTTGTCTGTTTCTTCTAGACCGCAACATTTCACTGCTTCTTCATGTTGTCACCTTTCACATTGTGATCAAAAACAAATTTCCTTCTTTCTATAAATTGCCGAACAAGCGTATGCGATGACTAACCGTTCACGACTTTCATCGACTGAAATCGTAGAGATGTGAAGAAAGCAAAGACTTTGCATACTAAACAAAAGTCGGAAATTTAAACCTTCCCGCAAATACTCTTCTGTTTAGAAAATCACGCGCTTCAAACACGACTCATAACTTTTATCTAAATGTTCTGTGAGAAAGTTTTTGTTCAAAGATATTGATAAACCACTCTTGAAAGTTTCCTTTCGTGTTACTAAGGACAACTAAAGACAATAAATGTGATCATGGAAATGATAACTCTCGCAATGCGCATAGTGACAGTCGATATTCAATTTGCAATATTGTTTTCTTTCCGATTCAACAATTCAAGACAGTTGTATTAATAATAATTGCTATATTCAAAGGCATTAACGTTCTTTAGCAAAGTGAAAGAAAAAAATTACAGCAGTTTTTTTTTTGGCAAAATATTACCCCTTTTTCAATTATAATTACGCAAAAACTAGCCATATTTCTAAAAATGAACCTGGCATTAATTAAAGTTATAATTTTGGAGAACAGATTTCATTCATAAAAACAACTATTTTAAGTCATGTTTTATCATATATGAAGGTCCAAAAAAATTTAACTTTTTGTTATTTTCGAAACGTGAGATGTTTTAATGAAAACTACCATAATAATCTACCTCTAATTATCTCTTCCTCTACCATCTTTCTATCATAATAACCTCTGCCATAATTATAAATTATTTATCTCTATTTCAACAATAAAAAATAAATTTGGAACCGTTTTTGATAGTTTTGAAAATATCTCAGTGGCTTAATTGAAGAACACCCTCAAAAATGTAGAATTTAGAACTCAGAAATATAGATCCTCCCCGATTGTTTAGGCAACACACACTTTCGTCTACATTTAGCTGTTTTTTTACAATAACTACATTTCAGCATCACCCAGTCGAATTTACTCATAAACTTCTCGAAGAGAACGTTACCAAAAATGATATATAATGTTCACAGATATATTTTAATTTAATACATTTAATGTAATTTAAAATGGACCATTTTTAGGAATGCATTGAATTTAAATACATGTCGAGCCACTCAATCCTTAGCTACATAGACGCTTATATGAACAGAGAATATATAAAATTATATTTCAAAATTTATATTTAAATGTTACAATTAGAGCATCGAATGTCACACTTTTAAAATCCCTCTCCCATCGCCTTGCATCACGAGAGTCCTAATGGCGGATCTAGATATTGAAGCGGAGTTCAATCATTTGTTAGGCAGAGACCTTTGAATATGCCACAATGTAACGGTTCATGTCCTCACGAATTACTCTTCGTGCAATCATCTAAATTTAAATCACGTGCGAGCGTCTATAAACTTTATCGTTATAAACTTCTTGGCCACGTAGAGAGTAGAAAATGATCTCATTTTGCCAATGAGCGTATGGTGGGATCGTTAAGCAACTCATCATGCACAGATTTTCGCAGTTACAAGAAATGACATGCAGTGGCAGGAACTCTCTTTGACTGTTTCAGAACGTGACCTTCAAAACCCCAGTGTATGCTTAGGTGCCTACCAATCACATTTGTAACTTTGTTATATAACATTACCACCACATGTTTATGGGCTAAAAGTGATCATCGTCGATCCCCCTCCCCTACAAACACTAGAAGTTTGTTACATTCAATCTAATACAGTTCTTTCTGTTTAGTACTTGTACCATTTTTTCCGACAAGGACGAAAGTGGGGATTGCTCCCATGCTCCCTCCACCCTCGATCCGTCCCTGGGGGCCGTGAATGCTTAATGGCGTCTCCGCTGGAGTGCGCAAGGCGCTGTCCTCGTGTTGGAATCGCGCGTGCAAGCGACGGGGCGCGCGCGTGCGTTGTTGCAGCTGGTGCCGAAGCTCAACTCCAGCACCATGTCGGAGCTGGAGCGCATCCTGGACAACAAGCCCACGCGGCCGCCCATGGTGTCGACGTTGGCGCTCAGATGACAATCAATGTGCCCCCCAGGCGGGGGCCCGATGGGGGGCAACGGCCTGGGGGGCGGCGACCAGTCGCCCAAGGAGGAGTCAATCCAGGAGGAGTCGAAGGAGCAGAAGCTGCCGTTCTGCAGCATCCAGTGACAGCGCCTGGGGTCGCCCGGCAGCGCCAGCCCGGTGTGACGTCACCAAGGCACCAAGAGGTACGTCTGTGCTCTCAGGACACACGGAATGCATTGACTGCGGGGGCATCGGTTTCTACGAGTCGAAAACGTTCCGCATTCGAAAAGCTGTTCTGCCGACGTGACCAACTACTGTCCTTTCACGTGGTGGAAGACTGCAGCGACGGAACCCGTCAGTCGGCTTCCTTGTTTCTTCGCCGAGGCGCCCCGCGCGGACGCAGGCTTGCGTTAGCGCCTCTACGCCGTCGCGTTGCATCCTCCGGGGGACCCCCAGCGCCGCTCCGCACCGCACCGCGCCGCGCCGCGCCGTCGTCGTGGACTCGTTGGCTCTCGCAGCCCCGCCCGGCCGGCCGGCCCGCGGACGGGCGCGACGCCACGCGATGCCACGCCACGCCACGCCACGCCACCCCGCCAAGGGACGGACGGCACGACGGGCGCTGCTGGGACGGAGTGACGGGGCGCCCCCGGACGCAGCCGCTTGTTCAAATCTCGACTCCTGTCGCCCTCGCGACCGTTTGTGCGCGTGCGTACCCGTGATGCTTCGCATTGTGTTGCCTTTTTACTCGTACACGAAATGGATGGATGGTTGGGTGGATGGTGGATTTTTTGGCGCGCGATTTCGTTGGCTGAGAGACGAGATGGAAGCGAGTGGTGGTGCGAGTGGAAATGCCTCTCCGCTCCGAAGGAATCGGCGTTTCCTCGCAGCTCAGAGCCCGCGTCCAGCACCCAGTCAATACAGTCACTAGTACAGCAGGCGCTTTCGCTTTCCCGACTCGTTCACTCACACATTGTTAGTCGAACAATCCAGCGGGTGGCTACTGCATTTTAAAATTTAACTCTAAACTATTTTTTTTTTCTCTGGGAAAAATCAATATTTTAAATTAAAAGTGATTTTTAAATTTTTAGAAACTTACAAATGGCAGCAAAATTTACATTTTTTTAATTTTTTTTTTTTTTCAATTCAATTTTTTTTCTTTGCTCATTGAACTTAAAAAAACGAAATTCAATAACAAGGGTACAAAATTATCTTCAATCCTGTCAAGTCAATAAATTTAATTTGTAATACCCAAGTAGGCCTGCATCCTTGATTACTCAAATACTAACAAATGTATTAGATAAATTTTACAATTCTTCAATATCAATTAGATACGTTTTTTACATTCAGATATAGCCTAACATGCTGAAATTTTGAATTAACACATTTTCTCTAGTTTAAAATCAAGATTTGAATAAAGGGGACATTTTTTGCAGTTTTCAATTAAGAATCACAAAATTTTCTATCACTACTACTTGCATTTTTCTTTCTAACATCACTTGAAATATCATTTCAAAGTTAACCATCTTTATTTCAAACAACTACAACCACACTTTTCATTTAAAGATCAAAGTTTCTGTTGCCAGAAAATTAATCAATATTGTCACAAACATCTTCCTTCAATTAAAAATCCTTCCCTAATTGTAAGGATTAACACAATGGACATTAAATACACTGAAGGTTGTAAGAAAAAAACATCATGACACCAGCTCATTTTTTCTGAGAAAATGGCAAAATTGTATCATTTTTCCATGGGTAAATGTGAGATAATCATACTAATGTAGGAAACTTTTATATTAACACTATCTGATATGAAAATCTTTGTTCTTAAAAGTTTTGAAAATTGAATAATTCAAGCTCATCGACATGTAACATTTTCATTTACAATTTCTCTCTAAAATGAATGTCTAAACCATAATTTAAAAAAAGGTTGCGTAGTCCAAGACCCAATATCTTAAGTTCAAACATAAATGTGTAAATAAAGTGAAATTTGAGTTTCTCTCAATACTTTTCATTACAACTTATTTTTTGACAAATAAATATAACATCACTGCAATTTTTTTCATCTTCTTAGTTCAAATCTCCTTCAGTAAGATCCATGAACTCATGTTTTCCTGAGTAAAAATATTTTGGAATGTTTTCTTCTTTTAGTTTTGTTTTGTCAATAAATTTAGCCACTCATGGTTCAGTGAAGGGAATCAACACTCCCAACCAAAAGTGATTCTAAAGGAGTTACACATTGTCATGCAATAAGTGCTATAAGCACTCTTTCTCTTAATACTTTTATAGCCTATGCAATAAGCGCTCTTTCTCTTAATACTCCTTTCTCTTAATACTACTGCTTCTATTATGTTCAGTTAGTTTTTCAGATGCCCTTGGATTGTACTTCCCAGTTTAAAACCACTAAATTGATCCCATAACTTTATGAATCAATGGGATACATATTAGTACATTTTTTATATTTTATGAGTTACCTTTTTTTTTCTTTAAACAATATAATGGGAAATTATCAGAACTGAATCTAAATTAAAAATATAAATTGTTTTCTAAATTAGGGAAAACAAGTACAAAAAATGTTGTACAAAATGCATACATTAGTAGCTGTCTGCTGTACTCGAGACTGCATTGCATTTCCTTCATTGTATAATTTATGAAGAAGACTATACAGTTGTGCCTCAATGTCATAATTAATGCCAAGGGTCAGTTGACAATGACCATACACCATAGTTTCTGGCAGGAAACTGTTAAGAAAACTTCCATATGACATGGGCTGTGATTTCTTTGTTTAATATGATTTAAATATTCAACCAAGGGGAAGCTTCTCTTGTATTGCTTACAATAGATGCAATCTATATTATTCCTTAACATTCAGGCATATATTGTAAATTTTACAAATTTTTGCTTAATATCTGTAAGTCAGGTGCTAGAATTAAAATATTACAGAAGAGCATTACAATGTTGACATTGAAGTAAATATTTATATTAATTAAGAAGAAATTATCGATTTTTCAACTTAAGAATAATATTATAAGTTTGTTTTCAAGCACACTAGTATTAGAGTGTACAGTTTCAGCAATTTGATCAACTGATTTAGTGAACTTTTCCTATATATTTGTGCAAGTCACAGAAACAGAAACCTTTGGCTCTTCATGCAAAAATTCTAATAGTATACTTCCATTTTTCTTGGTTGCTAGTTTTTATAAAAGCATACACAATAAAGTATAACATATGACCGAATGAATGTAATTAATTAGTACAGCATGCATGCGAAGATTTGATACGAAATTCTCCAAGTTAAAAAAGGTATTAAATTAATAAATTTCTGCAGGAGAAATTATCTATCAAATATGTTTCATTACTTTTTTCAGTACATATTCTGTAACAGTGTTCTGTACTGTTTTTTACTCACTAATATATCATTTTTTATAAGTGATAAATTTTTCTGAATCCAATTGTTATTGATATAGACACTATGTAAATATCTTTTAAATATTTGATCACCACTCATTTAACACAATCATTTAAGTATTTTACCTATAGTATTATTATACTACTTCTTCTTCTTGTGACTATTCTCAGTCTAATAAAAACCCATTTCAGCTCATTCTACAAAAATATGCTACAAAAACTTGTCTTCTGTGGTTATCAAGATGTGATGTTACCGAAGCCAGCTTGAACTGCCAGTACCTGTTAAACTGATAACTGTTACTGTGTGTGTGCTAGTGACTGACCAGTCCAAGAGCTTGCCTCTGAAAGCAGACGGAGAATGTAGGATCGAAGCAACATTTCTGTATGAGTGGCTCTCCTCATGCAACAAACTCTTGAGGACACCACCAGAAATCTACCTGCCCTGCAGTCTCTATCAGTGAATAAAGAAAACATTTTTCACATGTGGTTGTGTTAATGCACTAAATATCGACTCCTTCTGTGAATATATTACAAAAAACTTCCTGTTTTAAGGAATGTTTTGTTGGAGTTCTTATGCCCCTGAAGCACTTGGTCTGCTGGTTAGCTCAAGTATTGGAACAATTTGAATGGAAATCCTTTCTTCAACAAGACCAAGGGTCCAATGAGATGAGGGAAGTTTTGGTGGGATTCTTTTTGTTAAATGACAAATACTGCATCCAACACCTCAAACACTGTGTCACACAGAACATTCATTTTAGTCGTTTTTCTAATTCTGCACACGAGGACTTTGTATTGGAATGTTTGAAATCATATTTTCAACAATAAATGAATTGCATAACAATAAGATATCTTATTTTGTGTAAATACTTTAATTATTCATGCTGAAATCTGAAAGACAGAAATTTTGTTGACTTTGTTATTGAATATAATGAAATAATGAAGAGAGAATGTATTGAGTTGATTAGGTACTGTAATAATAAGTTGTTATTCTTTAAAGGACTATTGGTATGTTATTGTAATATAAAATTGTCTGTGTTTAATGTTATTACTAGAAAAAATATAACTGTTGAAAACTGTAAGTCAAGAAAGTGCACTTATAGGGTAATAAAGAATAAACAACAGCAAAGATTGACATTACAAAACATTTTGCTGAAACATTCTTAAGAGGGGAGTGGAAGTAAGGCATCATATGTAACACAAAATACGCTTTATTATGCAATAACAATAATGTAACATGACGTACTATAAAATTATTGTTATATAGATGTCAATGTAGGTTAAGAAGTGAAACTTGGTTTGAATGATATCTGGGAGAATAAAATGTTATGTTGTATTAGCTTTTGATTTAGTGTACATGATTATGAAGGATAAAATGGTGCATAACAAGTTCAATGTTTGTTTATAAGCAAAATAATATTTAAAATACAGTCTACTTCAGTAAACACAAAGAAACTGCAATATGAAAAAGCGAGGTCAATTAGAATTCTCTCACCGTGACCATCTCATCTCATTGTACCTCGACAACATTTCTCACAGAGAGTAACAAATGAACAATTTTTACTGATGCCAAATGCCATGTCATATCGGATTGTGAATTTAGAAGCAATCAATATACCATGTGTGGTGAATTATGTCAATAATACTGCTGTATCTGTCCACTGCAGGAAAGTATGTAGTTCTAGATCTTTAAATCTACTCAAATAATTACATGCTGATCACTCCTCTAGGATTTAATTATCAGATATGAAATCTCCAGCTTATGTTGTTCTACACTGACTCTTATTCTTTGCATTTTAAAATCAAAAAGAAGCAATAGCTCAAGCTTCTTTGGGCACTTGCATTTGTAATACCTCCTAAATATAAATAAACTATACAATAATTACAAATAATTTATAATAAACCCTTAACATTCACATTATACATAACTTGCAAAAGAGGGAATCACACTCCCCTGGAGTGGAAAAATTTACATGCACAGAAAAAGTTTGGAAAACAGTGTGAAACAGAATACAGCTGGAGACCTTCTATTAACATTGTAAATTATGCTGTCTATAGCATTGCTCACATTTAATGAAAGAAATAATGCTTTAATACCAATTAATAAGTCTCGCTATAGCACATTGATATTAACAGTGTTTCTACATTCAGAATTCCTTGAAT